TATAGACATCAGTTTTGCAGTTTATTTAATTTTATTATTATTATTTTTACGAGGAACCCGGAACAATAACAAAGTATTTTGTGTTTTGAGTCATGGATTTTGACTGAAATAGAAATTGTAATTTCTTAGATTATTCCAAATCAGATTTTGTGTTGTAACATGCTATATATAGAGTTGAAATTACTGAAAAATACATACACATAATTCTTGATATATCTATTGATATTCTAACATAAATTCGAAAAATACTTTGAAGTCCTTTGCAGGGGGGAGCTAGGATTCTAAATAGAAGGGGGCTTACATCATGATAAGAATATTAAATTAGTTTTTATAACCGAATAATATAATAGGTTCTGTAAAATTGGATAAGAAACTGATAAAGAAAAAATCGTCTAAATAAGAACATCAATAGCTTAAAATTGAAGTCTGTTCTTCGGGATCATGAATCAAAGAATCTAATGTACCTCTCTTAAATTTGACATATTATTTTTTCAGATTCAACATTAATTAGCCCGTTACAAGACCCAACGAATATATCAACTAATTGGCAGTTACAAGAGCTATTTATAAAAACTAATAAAAATGGATGGGTAATATATAGGAAAATTAATATATAAGTGGGGTAATATATAGGCGAGAAATAATTTTTTAATTGAAACCTCACTGATGAAAATATAATAAAAAGCCCCAACGAATATATCAACTAGTTGGTAGTTACAAGAGATATTTATGAACACTAATAAAAATAAATGTGGTAATATATAGGCAAATTAAGATAAGTGGGAGTTGATGTGGTGAGATATGAGCCAACGAGGCCTCAGTTCTTTTCATAATTGTCATGGGCTTATTACAGGGCCGATCCAAACCAATTTGAGGCCCGGGGCAAAAGTAAATTTGAGACCCTTTAAATTTCAATAATTAGTAATCTATTAGGATAATACAATGATGGACTATTATTTGTCTATAACAACCGTTGTCGGCTAAAAGATTATTGCATGGACTATTATATATATACTATAGTTGAAGTTATAGAAGAGATTGGAGGGGGGAGAGCACCTGGCAGCCCCCTCATTGTCTCCGCCCCTGGTCCTTTGCCTCTATGGGTGGAAATGATCCAATCGTAAGTAATCAATGGTTTAACAAGAAATTTTATGTTCAATTATGAAAACCAAATACAATAATTATAAAAAGGATCAACATATTTGAAAAGAAAAATGTATTTGTGAGTAGAAAATGATTGGTTTGTATAATTATTGTATTGAGTTTTTAGGTAAAAATTGCAAAAAAAAAAAAATAATAATAATAAATAAAACATACATCGCCGGATAAAAAATATTCCTATAACTTCATTTATATATATTTTGAATTCTATGATATCCACATATTGAATCTCTATAATCTTCTATTGATCTTACATAGGTAACGCAAAACATCATTTTTATGAAAGAATAATAAATATAAACTTTATATGTCCAGATAATAACATCGGGGTGGTGGCGCAGTTGGCTAGCGCGTAGGTCTCATAGCTAAAATTGAGTTATCCTGAGGTCGAGAGTTCGAGCCTCTCTCACCCCAAAAATATTTTCCATCCCATTTTCTCTTAGACCAACCATGGAACCCTTTATTACTTAAAACTTTAGTAATTTGATTTTACAAACAAAACAAGTTATTGTTGT